TGTAGAATTTTTAGTGATGAAGTGTCATGTTGCAGCTGAACACTCACCCTCTCCTTCCAAACAAGAAAAAGAAACTGTGGTGAACTTCAGTTGTCATAAAAACTCAAAAGGTGTTTAGCTTGTCCAGTCTGGACTAATGTAAAAAACATGGCGGCCTCCGTAGAGAAGGTCCCCTCGATGTCAATATAAAGTCTTTAAATATAAAGGACCTTTTCTGGGGTAAAGAAAACTACAATTCAGACAATTTAGATTAAACAAACTAGTGAAAACATCATGAGGATTATTCTACATTAAATTTCTGCCAATCGTTCCCTTTCACCTAAATCTTACACACTGGACCTTTAAAGACTTTTGCAGCTCAGCTCATAGACACAACAATCCGTCACTGCAAAGAAGTAAATGATCATTTTCATTTGCACGACTTGTCCAGGTTGTACCTCGCCTCTCGCCCAGTGTCAGCTGGGATCTGCTCCAGGCCCCACGGCCCTTACGAGGATAAGTGGTAGAGATAGTGGATGAATGGAAACCCTTTTTATTTATATATTTTATTAATAAATTAAACAGCCAGCATCCTTTTTTTCTTTTTTTGTTTATAATCATTCTTAGAAAAAAGTTAAGTATGTCTATGAAAGCTTTTCATGATGAAGCCACAGCTCCCTCTGGTTTAATTCTATCTCACGCTGTGTGTTAGATGTTAGATTGTGCATGACTCTTTTCAGAAAAACGAACCAGGCAGACAAGGAGGAAGTTAATAAATTATTAGTCCTCTTGTCCTTTATATATATTTCCCAACTGTCATAACCTTTTCTCACTTTACGTTCCTGCTTTTGCAGTTCTGTGCAAAAATAAAAAACCTTCAGAAAAGACAAAGTTGGGACATGATTGTAAACTGTGAGCTCACTGTGCTGCTGCCAGTGGTCAAGCTTCAAATAAAATCTATTGCAAATTCATTCTGAAATAACAGAAAATCAGCAAAAGAAAATGTGAATAAATGTTTCATCCAGTTTTAGCAGAATCGTCCGATGCTGACGTTCTGGTCTCCCGACAGCACTTTATAGAGATACATTAAAAATTCTTTATATTAATCTATTTTTAAAATTTTTGAAGTCCTAAAATTTCTCTCTGTGGTAAAATAAAGTGGTGGAAGGTGAGTTATAGCATTATTAAAAACCCCACACTCCCC